TTTGTATGTGCGCGTTATCATTTTTTCCCCTTTTTTTAAAATGGAAATGAGGAGCTGTCTCTCACATGGCTTATGCCAAGCCTGCAGCACAAGCCATGCAGGAACCAGGAGCACAGGGCTGTGTCTGCAGCCAGCAGGAAGGAGAGGATGCTGGATCAGCAAAGGAGCAGAGCACTGCACCCTTGGACAGGAGCTTTCAACCCACAGCAACCAAAGGAGAGCAAACATCATGTCCAAGCCATGTCCTGGAGCTTCTGCTTTCCATTGCCCTTCTACTTGTGGGGAAACTGAGGCAYAGGCAGGGAGAGCAACTCAAATTGATCCACAGTCCCCAGTTTAACAAGCATCTGTTCGCACTAGGGACAATGGCAGCACATATATGTGTTGAGTTTAGAGCCTTTTAAGGGAATTGGAAAAACCTAACCCAGTTGAGATGGTTAACCCTGGTTTAGGTAAAATGTGGTAAAGCTGTGWCAGGGCAGGCTCAGGCTGGARATCAGGGAAAGGTTCCTACCCCMGAGGGTGTTGAGCACTGGGTTCYCAGGGAATGGTCCCRGCCCCGAGGCTGCCAGAGCTCCAGGAGCGTTTGGACAGCGCTGCCAGGGATGCTCAGGGTGGGATTTTGGGGGGTCTGTGCAGGGACAGGGGCTGCACTGGRTGATCCTTGGGGTCCCTTCCAGCTCAGGATAYTMTGTGATTCTGTGATCCTTAAAYRCCTCASAGCAGCCACAGCTCTCCTCTCRCTCACTGGCACAGGYACTGCTGCATTGCTTTCCTTCCCTAGAACCAGGACGAGTTAAAAACAAAAAACCTCCCAGACAAACAGGATTGARGGCTGGACCCCTGTGCCAGGCAGCAAGGCCTCGTGGCAGCATCTCTGCTTCCAGCTCCACTCCCCCATCCCCATCCCCATCCCAAACCCACAGGAGCACCCACGCAGGGACAGCAGCTCGTGGGCTAAACACGCTGCCCCCACGGCTGCAGGAAAGGAAAAGCCACAGAGARCCAAGTGCTGGGCTGGGAAAAGTTGGGATAAACTCCTCAAAGGAGGTAAATCAGGGTCAGCCCTCATCCTGCAGATGAGCTGGGTCACGCTGGGCTGCCCTGGGTCTGCAGTCCCACGTGGGGATGGGCAGCGCTGCCAGCAAGGTAAAAATAAACAAACCCAAAYCTGCAGAGTCATCTGCTGTCTCCTGCTCCCCAGGAGGGGGATGCTGCCTCATCCAGGCTGGCCTCRTCCTGCCTGCAGTCCTGCTCCTCCAAATCCCTCAGCTAGAGGACAGGTTTACACAGAGAATTATCTCAGTGTGGATTTAAGGAGCTGCATCTGGACAGCTCCTCATGCCAGGGGATGACGGCTGCAGAACCAAAGGCTTCCTCAAACCAAAGCTGTTCCCCTCACCCTGCTCATCCCAGGGCTGCCAGGCTCACCCTGCCAGGACTCAYCTGGGGACACGGGTGGCACTTGGGGCAAAGCTACACAAGGTGCAGAGGGCCAGACACACAGCAAGGAGCCCCAGAGCTCCCACTGCTGCCCTGGCTGGTGGGACTGGAGACCACTGGAGACCCCAGCCCACCCCTGCTGCCTCTGCCTTGGCTCCCTGCCCGGCCTGAGGGAGAAAGAGATGAGAGCTCAGGCACAGGACTCTGCTCACATGAAGGGAAAAGGAAAAATAGAGGTGGAAGGCTGGGAGATATGGGCTGGCCAGCCTGGGCATGGTGATCTCCAGCAGTACCAATCATCTTCCCCTCACCAGGCTGGGAGGTTCTGTCTCCTCGGAGGACACACAGCCAGCACAGCCCRCAGCCCGAGGGGCCCAAAGGATGGACAGGGATCAGCTGGTGGGGTCAGCTCTCAGCCAGGGCTACATCACCATGGGCTGAGGCCACCACCAGGCCCCCTCCCCATCTGTCACTGTCCCCAGAGCTCTCCAGCAGGAGCACAGCCCTTCCAGCCCAGCCCRTGCACCCACATGAGTCACCGTCCTCATTCTCCACCACTCTGACCTTGACCATGGCCCTTGAAACTTCAGCTTCTCTCTCCACCCTTCCTCTAYGGACTATGAACACTTCCAGGCCACAGCTATCTTTAGCCAGCATCTGCACAGCATCCAGCYCAGAGAAATGTGGTTTTTTCTGAGGTTTCTAGGCGTTAACCACAGCAGCAGGGACAATTCACTCCCCCTCTCCAAGATGTGTCAGCCCAGGACTCCATCCAGCCCCACAGCAAGCTCCAGCTTGAGCCACACACAGCTTTTCATCTGACAAAAAAAATCACCCAAACCAGAGCACAGAAATCCTCTGCCATCCCACAGGGGGATCTGTGTGGATCTTCCCAGATAATCAAATTTAAACCACCACCAAAACAGACCTTTGATTAGCAGCCATGGAGCCCATTCATAGCGACAGCATGTCAGGTCAATGTTCACTCCCAAAATCAACTCTGTGCCTCGGGAAAGGGATTTTTTTTATTTTTATTTGATGGTCTGCATTTGAGGTCTAGTTAACAAACAGGGGACTTGGGTTGCCATCTGGCCAGCCCGAGAGCGTGCTGAGAAATAATACTAATAATCATCATATGGTGGTGCTTTAAAAGGCACTTTTACAAAAGCCTGGGTGAGCCGACTGAAAYCTAAGAGGCATCTTTGTGTGCCCCGAGGGCTCGGCCTCTGGGCACTCTGCCCCTCCAATCAGCCACTCTTGAAAAGGGTCAGAGTCCAAAATCTCTGCTGCTGTTCCACCCCGAGCCTCATCCCGTGGCTTTGCTCTGCAGCCTCACGCAGGAATTCACTTGTGCAAGTCGAGCTGGGCCGGTGCTTTATTAAATAAATAAATAGCACAGCTTACAGGATTTTCCATGTCAACAAAACAGTAGCTGGTTGCTGGTATTGGGCAATGCCTGCGTGCCTCATCCCCGAGCAGGGATTGCCCCAGGGACAGGCACTGCTCCTCAGGGATYTGACAGCAGCCACCCAGGGCTTCCAGCATCGAGCCAAAAATCCCATTCCTGGAGTTGCACACGCATTTCCCTGCAATGCACAGGAGGCTTTCCCACCCATCGGGGCAGATCCYACTGGTGCCTGCCCCCAGCCCTGCCAGCTGCAGACAGCAGGAGCTGTGTCCAGCCCTGGTGCCACTTTAACACAACAGGAATGAGGGAATCATCTGCCCTGCCGGGGTTTGTGTCCCAGCCCATTTCCCATACACATCTCCAYGCACCAGGCTGCCCATCTCGCAGCCATTCCGATGCCCCCAGCCCTACAACACAGACAACTGACCTAATTTTCCTCTTTTGAAACACCCAGAGGTCATCTCCGTCTGCAGCGAGCCCCTCTGAGCCGGGAAGAGAAACAGAGCAACCTCTGTTAGCAGCAWCCCCCCTCCCCAAATCTCCCTCCACATCTTGCCCTGTGCTGTCTCTTCCAAATGGATGGGAATGAGCATCCCCCACATCCCTCAGGGCTGTGAGACAGTCTGAGGAGAGCCAGGGAGGTCCCTGCTGTTTCTGGCTCTGCTCACGCTGGGGTGTGGCGCGATGCCTCCAACCCCACCTCATTCTCCTTCACGACTCAGAGCATCTCACCTGAAGCTCCCAAGGGCGTTGCTTGGCTCACCCATGCAGTGAAACATGGGAGACAGCACACATATCCATTCTTCACCCACTGCCCAGTGACTCAGAGCTGGGACAAGAATGTTCCCTCCCAGTTAACCCAGCTGCTCCAGCAGCACTTTCCCTCCTCTCCCAGCTCCCAAAGGTGATATCTGCCCCATCTGCCTTTCTGCCCAAATTGCTTTTTCTGCAGAAATGACCAAAATCACACTTTCACTTCTGTGGCAAACCCTGATGCTTCCAAGAACATCTTTCCATACCTAAAACAGCCACTAAAAAAAAAAAAAGGTGTAAAACTCCATACTTTCCACTCCCAAGAATCACCTCTTTTGGTAAGAAGGTCACTCAACTGGAGCATTACTTTTGAGYTCTGAACTGTCAGAGCTTATGCAAGCAAAAAAATGCAGCACTGAAACAAAAAGGAAGGACATCAACAGAGGGTTTGGGCGTTTGGGAAAAGATAATGTATAAAATAATTACAGGCAGCATGTCCCTGCAGAGAATTCTGACTCTGACTCAGCCCCTGCCCTGGCACGGAACTGCAGGTACTCAGCACTCGCTGAGCCCAGACCAAACCCTGGAAGACAGCGAGGCAGCAGGAGCCTGGGARGGCTGGAAGCTGCTGCAGGGTGGCTCTTGAGGTCTCCTCCAAGGACAGACCATGAAACTTTGCTGTCCCCACGAGCACAATGGGTCAGGCTGATGTTCTGTCTGATCCTGCAGGAACAGAGATCCCCTCACCTCAGCCACACATCTCTGAAAGCTGACAGATCACCGCCTGGAAAATAATTGCGTGCCAGCTTTTACAAGGCTACATGTGAGGCTGGGTGAGGTGAAACGAAGAGGAACACATTCATTATACAAGAGCTCCAAGCATAAGCTCTGGTGCCTGTAAACACCAGGCAAGGCAGGAGCCGGCTCCGCTGCTGGGCCGCTGCTTCCACCCCGATGCTCGGCAAGGGCACAGCACAAAGCTCTGCCCGCCCCTGGCATCTAACCTCTCCCTTTGGAAAATAAACCTCTCCAAAGCCCCYGTGCTCCACCCCAGCCCCCACTCTCCTCCCAGCTGAGGCGTGAAGCAGCCCTGCCCAACAGGGACTAACAGATGCACAAGGCATTAGGAGAGGTTCTGCTTCCGTGCGACTCAGAAACGCAAGTCAACTCCCTTGGGGRCCGCCAGGGCTTTTGCCACGGCCACGGATATTTTATAATCCAGCTCTTGAAGGAGGAAGAATAATCTTCATGAATTTTTATACCACCAGCTTCCTTCCTGCTTATTTTTTTCTTCTAAACACCAGCACCAGATGACAAGACCCACCCTTGCCCGGAACCCACAACACAGCAAACCCCGCCGGCGCGCGCAGAGCCCGGGACGGCCGGGGTTACTCACTGGTCACACTGGTCACTGGTGGCTCCAGAGGGGCTGCAGGCACAGGGCTGGCAGCGCTGGCTGCCCTGCTCGGGGTAGAAGCCGTGGGCACAGCCGTGGCAGCGCGGCCCCGCGTACCCGGGCAGGCAGCGGCACTGCCCCGTCGTGCGGTTGCATTCGGCGSTGCCCACCGAGCTGCAGTTGCACAGGTCTCCTGCAAGGCAAAGAGAARCAGAATCTTAGAACCACATTATTTGGGGGTGCAAGGGGTCTTGTTCCTACTGCCTTGTCATGGGCAGGGACTAGACCAGGTCACTCCAGCCCAGCCTTGGACACTTCCAGCTTGTCTGCCACAATGCCAGAGCCTCACCATTCCCTTTCTGTACCCCCACGTCATTGTAAGGATGATTTTTGCTTTAAAATGTTGAGATGATGGAAAAAAAATACATTGGGGTTTGAAACACCACGGGTTCGTGCTTGAAATCTCTCTCCAATGAAGAACTACAAAATAATGAATATAACCACCTAAAATACATACACATGTAGCTGTATACAACGTCTCTGGATGCACACACAAATATCCACCCTCATAATTGTCTGACTATGGGAGCTGACAGGCACTAGCTCTGTAATATCAGGATAAATTCAGCCACAGGTGGCAAAATCATTAATTACAAAATCCTCCATTCCACATCACTGGAACATCCCTGATTTATCACAGAACACACACAGAGACAACAAACTGGCAGCAGCATCTCCCACTCCTGACAAAGGATACAGAATCCCCTGAAAATCTCTCCTCAGGGAATACAAGCACATGAGAATGGGTTTAAAAGCTATGGTAGAGCTGGAGGCAGGGCAGAGACCTCCACCACCTAAACCAAGTCACCTTCAGCCCTGTGGTCAGCAGGGATGGCTTTGGGGACACTCTGTGTTTACAGGGGTGCTGGAGAGCACACACTGAGGAGCTGCTTTTTTAAGAGAGAAGCAAATCTTTTGATCAAGTGATGAATTCCCAGACCCCTGCATGTTATTTCTCATAATACTTTAAAGCCCCGAACGCGCTGAAGAGAACAACTTCTCCCCGGCAATTTGTTTCTGCCAAGAGTTTTATCTCCGTTCTTTCGTTGCAAAATATTTAGTGCCTTAATAATTTAAAGTATTTTTCTGCCAAGACTGAATTATAAACAAGGATTATGTGCAGAAATAGTGCATAAAGCATCGGGGGCTTTACACAACTGCTGGTGTTTGTTATTGTCTGAGAAGAGCCAGCACCCAGGGCTGGCTTCATGAAAGCAGAGAGGCCAGGTCCCCATCCCAAGAAAACTTGATTCAAAGCTCTTTCCTTGTCATCCATGTTCTTCTAACACACAAAGAAATGGAAGTTATTTAGCTTTAYCACTCCATCACAGGATCCCCACAGAAGCCATGTTGTCCCTATACACCTGTGAAATTGCACCTAAATTTTCTTCAATCCAATCTATCAAATAGGACAAACGCCTCAAGATCTGCAATTACCCACTTCAGCAGCCACTTCACATAACGAACTAAATTCCCAGCTCAATTATCCAAGCAGAACCATATCGATTCGGGCACTTGGGCTTTTCCCTGCCAACAGAAGACACGAAAACTWGTTGAGCAATAGCACTTTGGAGTTTGTCAAACATGCATCAAAACAAATTCCCCTTTCAGAGCTCATTACTGCAGTGCCATTAGACCTGCCAGAGTTGATTAAGGAAAGGAAACAAGAACCATGTCCATTCTAATGGCACAGGAGGCACTGAAGGGCAGGTCCCACTGCTCCATGGGGAGACCCCACCACAGGCAGAGCTACCCATGGCTGCATGAGACCATWGTGACAGTCCAGATGGACAGCTGGATGGACAGGAGTGGGGCAGAGCTTGAGGATGGCCCCCACTGGCATGATGGAAGCCTTCCCCACACACCCCAGCAGGATGGCAGCACTTTGAATGGAAATCTGACTTTGTAGCAACCATTGCTTCCCATCCCAGCTCAGGCTGGGCTCTGCCTCAGCAGCCAAACTCATCAGCAGCACAGAAACCGCTGCAACACTGGTACCCCAGGAGAGAGAGAAACGCTGCAATAATTCAAGGTAACATTTGCAAAAGCAGGTTTTTTTGGTGGGGCTGGTGGAGCACCAGCTCCAGGAGAGCTGAGGGAGGCCAGCTCTGCTGGTGACRGGGCAGGAGCTGAGCCTGTCTGCTGTGAAATCACCCTGAGTGCACCATGAGGCACAACGGGGCAGATCCAGAAGTTGTCTCCCAGAAGGGCTGATTCCTTTCAGAACCTGCCTCCCCGAACCATCCTAGAGATCTCTGGGGGAGGATGGTGGTCCCAGGCAGTGTCACACATGGTCCCCACCCACCCCAAGTGTACCCAGCCCAGCTCACACACGGATGCAGACTCAAAACACCCCAAAGCCCTGTGGGGTGGGCAGTGGAGGAGACCCACACATCAGCACTGAAATCCAAAATCATCATCCAGGTCAAGGGCTGGCACAAGGCTGTACCAGGCACTTTGTTGTCCCCACAGCAGCTGAAGGCACAAACGTAGTGGAGGAGACCCACACATCAGCACTGAAATCCAAAATCATCATCCAGGTCAAGGGCTGGCACAAGGCTGTACCAGGCACTTTGTTGTCCCCACAGCAGCTGAAGGCACAAACGTTCCTTGGCCAGAACAGGAACGCGATAAGGAACATCTGCCCCAGACTGCAGGAACACAGCAAAGAGGATGAGCACTACAGAGGAAAATGAGGGAACATTGAGCTGGCTCCTGGCCAGAGCCTGCCTTTTTGGAGTCTTTACTCAGTTTTCTCAAGCCAGTGTTTTGCTTTTGAAGATAACCTTCAAAAACACTTCTCTAAGAGCTTYTGTGAAGAAAAGGAAAGAACAGGGAGGATGAATGCCGCAGCTGTCCTCAGCCATGACTGAGCAGTCTGGAGCACTGTACTGAGGTCAGGAGAATACCACCAGCAAGGGGAGCCAAGGGCAAAGACCTCTCAGGGATGGGGCACTGGTCCAAGCTCTGACTCTCCCCAGTCTGCTATCCTGACTCACCCTTGCTCTGCCTCAGTTTCCCCATCTCAGGGTGTTCCCCTGTCCCCAGGGCCTYCAAGCCCTGCTGGTCTCTGCCTGTTCCCCATTGCTAAACCATCCAGGCTCCCCTTCCTTCSCCACAAAGCTCCAGACAACAGCCCAAATCACATGGGTATCACAGGTAAAACCCACCACCTTTGCTTGTGAAGGGACTGACAGGCTTTAATTAATTAACAGCCTGATGATGTTTTGAGGTCCCAAAACAGAGGGACCATAAAAATGTATGTCACTGCCACAGTACCTCTCACACAAAAACCCCAATCACCTCTCCCTTCAGGAGCAACTCTTCACCTTCACTGCTCACTGCTTAGAGGAAGGTGGAGTGGAAGGAAAGGTTCCCATGTTGACACAGCACAGGGCACACCGCTGTGTGGAGACAGATTTAATACCCAATTTCAGTTGGCTCYAACCTCAAACTGATTAATTTTTACWATGCAAAAGCCATAGGTTACCAATAAACTGGAGAACAGAACAGTATTTCTATGTTTCATTGTATTGGATCCATACCATGGCTRTAAATAGCACCAACACCACCAAGAACCTCAACATCTGAGGGTGCCCTGTGACCCCTCAGGGTGGCACCTTGAGCTCAGTGCCAGCCCCCCCAGCCCACCCCTGGTAAGGACCTCAACCTCCAAATCCCACCCCAATGCAAACCCCAATTCTGCAAATCCCAGCAACATCCCAGCCTGTGCCAGGTCCATYGAGATCCTGCATCCCTTCATCTCCCATCCCCTGCAAGTACTTAAACAAGGCTTGTTCTTATGTAAAAATCCTTCCTAAAATTATTTTTTTCCCATCCTTTCAGCTTTGCAGTGTTTTAAGTCTTCACACGTATTATAAGCGTGATTCGTCCTCCCTTCCAAGCCACTTAATGAATGAATAATTCAAAAAACAGGTGAAATATTTACAAAGGGCTAAAGAAGCCAACACTGCGAAAGGCACGAAGGTCTCTGTGAAACCACTTTAACTGGGGACATTCTGAAACAGAGCAAACCCTCAATGAATTCACCTGCTCCCTGGGAGCCAGTGTGGACAACCCAAAATGCACATTTTTGGTTCTAAAAACACGCAGCTGCAAGAGCAAGCTGTGAAGGCCCACGGATGCTATTTATTGTCCTGCTGCAAAAGCATCCCCAAGGAGACAGACATTTTCTGTTCTCTGGGCAAGATGAAGGAGAGAAAAAAAATAACATTTCTAACCTGAAGGCACTGTCGGGATTTTGGGAGCCGGAGGTGCAGCCCCAGTGTGGCACCTGCAGCTCTGAAGCCAACACAGCCCAGGAAGAACCCCAAATCCCAAATATTCCCCAGATATCCCACTGGATTTAAACCACTGCACACAACATCYCAACCCTGGAAAAGCTTTCTTTTCATATTAATTTAGAAGTTTTCCCCTCCTCTCCATATTTCATTCCCAAATTCAAGCCCTACCTCCTCTCCCATTTCCCCTTCTCAATCCCTCTCCAGGCACCATTCCTGACAAGACAGGAATAAAGGGATCAGGCAGCAGGTTTAAAAATCTATCCAAGGTCAYTTCCTTTCCCCTCATAATTAAATTKTGGAACTCATTGTCAGGGGATGTTCTGGCTGCCAGAAATACCTATGGCTTCAAAGGAGGACTGGAAAGGCTCAGAGAGGACAGGTCCACTGGAGCCTGTTAAACACAGGGATCTGGAGGAAGCATCCTGATGGGAAAGGCCCTGAAAATGCTGTCTAGAAAAAGTCAGGATTATGCCCTGCTCTCTTGGCATCTTCTGGCCTTTCTTGGATGGGTGAAGCTTTGCYCTAAAGTTCTGATTTTCTCCTTGTTTCCATTGCTCAGGGATGATGGCAGCTCCAGTTCTTCCCCCAAACACACAAATCCCCCTTAAAGAGTCAGACCTTGCTCTTTCCACTGGGAGTTCTTCCTTCCTACAGCCCGAGGCACAGCTGTGCTGCAGCACCGCTCTTTCTGCCCCCCTTGCCTCTCAACAGGCTCCTTCCCTCACCCCTGAGAAGACATTTCATCCCCTCAGTAGAACCCACTGATGTGCCAAATCTCCCCCAGCAGTGCGATGAGGGTCAGGACAGTGCTGTTCCAGCATGGRATAGT